ATAAAATTTCACGCGACATAAAGCAAAAACACACCCCCAACGCATTACCACTGTTATTTCTCATGACCAAACAAATAAGACCTCTCAACTATCATACTTTGTCCCCCTCTTCGAACATAACGCGAAAGGTATAAGTTCCACGATAGGTCACGGTTTCTGGTGCATAAAACACATCTTGTTATGTTAGTGCGGATATCGTCAAAGTTCTGTCGGATGTTAACTATGAAAAGTTCGACTATAACGAGAACCATTTAATGTTCAGTGTTAGTATATTATATTAGAGTCGATTGTTATGTACGTTATTTTAATTAAAATGAAAGTGACATGATTTTTAAGAAGAACACAAATGTATACTTAGATATGGGGTTCAGAGAGATCGTCTTAAAAACTTCGAATTAATCCCAAACGTGACCCTGCTCTGTCTCCAAGTGGGGACAGATGAGAATAAAAAGTTTCATCCGTCCCACCTTTTAGTCCCACTATCACAAAAAAGATGACAGATGGAACCTTTAAGAAATGAAATAAGTTCCAACCGTCCCTTGGATGCAAAAGGTGGGACGGATAAAACTTTACATTCTCCTCTGTGGGGACAGAGCTGAGTGACGGTTGGGAATAATCCTAAACTTCAACACAGGAATATAACAAGACGAAATGAAATAAGAAAATCTAACTTTTTTTTATAAGTATAAAAATTGTTGGTTATTTTCTGAATTACAGATAGATGCATAGACATTTTAAGTACGCATAATATTAATGTATTTTGCACTAATCAGTAATTTATAAAATTTAAAAATTTATGGATTTAATTTACTAAAAATAATATTTTAAATCTTCTATGGTCGACTGTACTAAGTTCGCCTCCAATCAATAACAAGGAAGCTCTAACATCAATATTTGAGTTAAACTCTCGTTTTATTGCCGGCTAACGAGGGTAAATGTTAAAACGAGAGAAGATTAAAGATTTAATACTCTTAAATGTTTAAATGACGTCACGTTGGTGGAGGAACCAGATTTTTTTTTCAGTTATATTACGGCCGTATACTGAAACGATATATAAATGCACAACTTCAAATTACGTTAAAAATTTTACGTCTGTCATATTAGAAGCAGCGTTTATGAAAAATGTAGCGTGAGCCTAATAAACAAAATTAGATTTAAGACCAAAATAAAGTCAGATTTAAGGTACTTATTACTCAAAATTAATAAGGGTTTTGAAACATTTCTCATAATAATCACCGCCACGTTAATGTATGTTTGGTGTATTAACAGCAAAAAAAAACATATCACACTTAAAAATTATATTAACCATAATCATTTTAAAGAATAAACCATTTACGAGAGACTGTGGTTACGGCGTAATTGTCGACATTAAATATAAATTACGGGGAAAATGGCAAATTGTAAACCATGAAATTTTTATCGCGGTGTTTACTTAAACCTATTAAAAATGTGACGTAAACAGTTATTCCTTCAATATTAACATGAAAACTAAAGTATTGAAAACATCTTTAAAAAGGTAAAGAAAAGCTGTCGTTATAAGGCTATACGTACACATCCGAACAAGATCTAAATATAATAAAAAAACAATATAGCTTGCAGTGTGCTCCTGGCTTGAAAACGTCTCGAACACCAGTGGCGGCAGCGCGGGGTGTAATTTGAACAAATGAGCGACGGCTACGGAACTAAATTAAATTCGCGCCGGACTCGCTGCCTGCCTCCCGCTATTGCCCGGCGCTCACCAACAGATTACGGAAGTCGACCGATGCGGCCTCTACAATTTGTATCGATTTACAACTAACAAAACTAGTTATTTCTATTATACGTACTTCTTTAGACTAAAATCATAGTCATGTTATTACTCTCTTATGTCTAAAGATCGTAGTTAATCAATATTATTTTTTAAATTAAGCATTTAAAATTCGATTACATAGTAAACACTCAACAGTTCTGGGAGCAAAACGTACAGCCTTTTCAAACCCAAATCAGAACCATATTGACCGAATGCAAATAAATTCCTTGCTATCCGGTATTTGAACACGTCGGTCCGCGTTCCCTCCCGCTCGTCTCCTAATCAAAAAATTGAACTTTCAATAAAGGGAATCATTAATTCTTTTTAGGGAGGGCTCCTGTAAGATCCTAACGAAGTCCGCAACAATCTTGGCATGTTTTTGTCGGATAATTATTTGAAAGGAATACAGTACGGCGGGGTGAAGTTTTTTCTTGTTCGATTTACTTTTGTTTACGATGTTTTAATTATAAGTCAATGTAACATTGAACGTTTAACCTAATTGGATTATTGTAATTTCCCCACCAACTTGAAGCTCTATAACAAACATGTAATAATAATTATAAATAGATCTAAAATTTTGAGTATCACAGCGTTTTCCTTTCTTTACTCTAAATCATTGGTTTATATATCGATTGGTTTCCAGGTTTCAACTAATGCTTTATTAATTGTCTTGTGACAATGAAAAAAGAAACTTTATGCAATCAGTGACAAACCGTGACAATGAAACCAGTCTAACCGGATATTGATCCGTTATTTTTCTCAGAAGCTATTAGAGTAATGCAGGCAATCCCCCGCCGTGGCCGGGCGACTGCCGAGAATTAATGATGTCCCTTATTGGAAGCGGAATTTTTTGATCCCCTCCCCTGCCCCTCTCAGCCCCTCTAGCCGAAGGCAGAGGAAGCCAACAAAAGCTTGTTTACACGACGAAGCTCGCATTAAAACAGACTCCGGTCGCTTTAAGGCATTTAGGGGCCTATTGTGGATTATAGTATCGGATTGTCAAAAGCGATGTTGCGTTTTTGTCGCTTCCGGGCCTTGAAGGGTTTTGTAAATAAGCTTCTTTTATCAAATCGTGATAATTTCAATATCAAATGTATGTTTGCATAATTCGTGACCAAATTCTCCGTGAACTTATTACACTTTACTTCACTCTCTATGCTACAATGTATTCTACGCAATTTGACCCTCGCCTGAACAAGATTCGTACGCAGTGCTGCCCTCAATCACGTTACGATGTAGTGATAAAGTCGGCGCGCGCTTTGATCAATTACTCGAGCAAATGATGCAGCTACGGCTACCTGCGGCGAACTGATCTCACTCCCACAGGAATTGAAGCGCCAGTTAATACAGGTAAAGGAGTCTATACTGCCGAACGATAGGCTAAATAAGATTCGAGTTGTTGTTGATTCTAATATGAGCTCAGTGTATTGTTAAGTACACTGGCCAGAAATATGTATAGAATGGACACTGCTCTTTGATTGAAAATTAAAAATTATTAAATGATTAAAAATTACCTAAGAAAAACACTAATCTCCTTTTCAGGTGGATAAAGAAAATAAAGCATAATATAAATGTTATAAAGATAAAGGTGATCGTTATGTATTTCTAGGTCTTTAACTACGCAATATAATGAAAGAACACTCAAACGTTACCCAAGACGGCCCTACATTTCAATTAGATGGTCTCGCGCCACTATCTTCATGCTAATTGCGTTAATTACCTCCTCTGCAACTTACGATGCCCCTATCCCCTCCTACATCCCCCGCCGTTTTTAGACCGGATTACTTCAACTTCAATCTATGCTGTTGTAAAGAAGAAATATTTGTTTTGTTGGATTTTTGTATGTACTGTAATACCTTAAAAACTACTGAACCGATTTCAAGAATTCTTTTGCCGTTAAAAAGTTACGTTTTCACTAAGTAACATACTGTGTCTTTTATTACCTTTATATTCGCGCGGACGAAGTCGCGAGCAACAGCTAGTTTTTGTATATAATTCTTACATTACAGCGATATTATATCTTTAACAATAAAGTACAAAATAGTGTAATATTAAAAAGTAATAAGGAGTGACGTATAACAGAACAAATAAGCTCTTATTTATATCGAAAAAAATACAGTGTGATTTTTTTTCAGTCACGTAGTTTCGCGACAAATTAGAAGAGCAAAAACTAGTCTATCCACACATTTAAACCGCATGTCCGTTACAATCAATCTCGTTTGTACGAAATTAGACACACTGCTGCCGCGCGCTGTTCAAACTTCAACAGGAAAAGTTCTAACCACTATTCTGATGCAAAATTTGTACGATACTACTAAATGGGTACACCGGTAAAGATAGACCATGAAAGAGATGGATTACGTGAAAAGTGACGTAACCAAAAATGGAATGATGACTGAGACGACGCATGATAGAGTTATTTGGAGGACGAGAACCCGTGCGCCAACCCTACGGGAGTAGGATAGGGTAAAAATAATAAATAAGTAACCGATAGCTTTCATTGCCGTATCTTTGTACATAAAATCTGTAGCAGGTTGTTATGCATTTAAAAATCACAAACATTTTGCTTTATAGCTTTGTGTATCACTTAAATATAAGAAATATAAAAGGAAATTTAATTTGAAACATATATAACGTGTCAAATGGATTAGTTAGGAAATGTCTCGTGTTTACCAATTAATTTTAAGGAAGTTTGATTGTGTTTGTGCAAGAGATCGGTCAATTAAAACATAATGACGAAACGATATCGAAACGGAATCGTTTGGACAGCTCAGAATAAGTTCAGAGCATGATTGTGACTAACAGAATACGAAGCGTGTAACGCGCTTTGCAATTTCTGTCGCCGCTCACAATTTACTGACTTTATTCGATTTGGACCTAGAATTATATTTCATTTATTAGATATCTCTCTATATCTAATTCCCCAATATTTATTGACTTAAATTCTTGATTTTAATTGTTCCTGACATTGTTTTTTTATATGTATTTTTAAAAAGTTAAAGAGCAAATAATAATCTGTATTCGTAATAGACACACTGACAGGTAACATGACAATAATTTGTTTTGAATTGCCCACACTTCGAGACCGTGATTTCAAAATTTTTGGTTTCAAATAATACGTACAGAATTTCAATCCTGTATAGATATAAAAGTTATTTGTACTATCGTACCAAAAGTTTTAAACAATAGTACAATCAAGAAATCTAATGTGCCTTCAAAAGTAACTCTACTCCTTAATAAATCTTATTTTCGTTAATGGCGACTAAAGCCAATAGAATTTTTGAGGAATTTTTATCGTTAGTATCCGCTGAAAACTTTCAAATAAACAAAGTAATTGATAAAAACAATGAGGAGGAGGAAGACAAAATATGTGATGTTAGCACTCAAACAAATATTAATATGCGACAGAGAAAAGGTGAATAATCCATTTACTAATAAACATAATTAATAGATATTAAACAATAGCTGTTAAAGCTGTGAAATAAAAAAGTAATAAAAAACGTAGCCTATGTTACTCGCTGATAACGTAGCTTTTCAATAGTGAAAGAATTTTTGAAAAATGCCCAGTAGTTTTTGAATTATTTTAATACATACAAAAATAGAAATCTTTCCTCTAATATTGATATAGATTTACCTGTGATAGATCCAGTAGAAACAACTGTGCACGAATCTGCCGGTTCGCCCAGTGCAATACCACGACCACACAGAATGCAGGCGTCAAGTGGAAACAATTCTTCATTTCAACTAAAATCTTCGTGTCGGAGGCCTAATTTTAGTAACATTCCCTTCCCACCATTTCCTGATAAAGAAAGGTTTCGAAAATGTAAACTGTACTTGTTTGTTTGGGCCTCAGATGCAATATCAGCCGCAAATTCCGAAGCAGATTGTTCTAAACACACTACTTAAAAAATCACTTCATGTTGATAAAATTATCACTAAAATAAATGCCACCACATTTATTATCACAGAGTTCAACAAGTAAAACAAAATCTCAGTAATGGGTAGTTGGAGAAAAATTTACATGTGAATTGATTATTAATTTTTATGGACTTTAGTTGTAGGTAAATATTATCCAGGCGCTATTACCAGACACTACGTTTGGAAAGTAATGGTTCCTTCACAGAGACCTAAGCGAAGACGAGGTACTAAATAACTATTTTTAATAAATAAAAAATTAAAACTAATTAATTAAATTTTTAACCTTAAATTTTTCAAACCAGTAACCTTTATGGATTGGAAGAAATATCACAAACTTAGTGTTATTAATGGTTTTATTGATGATCTAGAAAAAGATTATCCCGCCATTTGCACAGTAACAGTGATCGGTAAATCTGTTGAAGGTAGAAACATTAAGGTAAGAAATCTAGAGTAGTATCTAGTAATGTATACGTGTACTTACTAAAAAGAATTTTAAAAATTTTTTTAGTTGACTTCATTTGGATTCCTAGTAGTTAATATGAATTCAACTTTCGCCCGCGATTCCATTCGCGGGGTATTAATAAAACAGAAGCAAGTAGCCCATGTGTTCTTCCAGACTATGCTCTAGATCTATGCGAAATTTCGTACAGATCTGTTCACTCGTTTAGGCTACAAACTCTAACAACATCCATCTAAACTTTCACATTTATAATATTAGTAAGATTGTATTCCAGATGCTAAAGATTTCCAACAGTGACGCCGAAAACTCGCCCGTGTGGGTAGACGCAGGCATACACTCCCGAGAGTGGATCAGCATTGCTGTTGTTACCTACTTAGCTAACCTCATTGCCAAAAATTTCCATAACCTCCCGAAATCAATTACTAGTAAAGATTGGTTAGCTGTTTCCTTTAACATATTAGTTAGTTCATTATGTCGATTTAAAATAATTCCATTAATATTTAGAAAATATTGTAAGTGCTATTCATCCATATATTTTTATCAGCCGTCATAGTCGACGTCACGTCATACACTTCCTTCTTCAGCATCAAATAAAAAGACAATTTAAAGGCATCGACTTTGTTACTTTTAGATAGTACTTATAGACCGCAGTATTCTGATTGCTAAAAAATAATTATTGTAAATGATTGCAGGCATTTTGTACCAGTTCTGAATCCTGATGGATATGAATATACACACAATCACGAACGCATGTGGCGAAAGAATCGCGCAATGCACGAAGGAAAATGTGTTGGAGTTGATCTTAATCGAAATTTTAGGTAAGATTTTTAAATGTCCATGTAAACGAATTGATTGACTATGGGCTAGTCACCCTAACTTAGGGTAGGCTCCGACGTATACAGCTAGTGATGATTATGATGTAAATGAGTAATTTAAAAGGTACATTTATAAATCTGGTTAACTATAGTTGTGGATGGGGTGTGGATGGTGATCAAGGTTCTTCAGCTTCACCGCATAGTGTTTTCTATAGAGGTCCAGCACCGTTTTCGGAACCTGAAACAGTCGCCGTCAGGGTAATCTAATTAGTAAATCTACGTAATAACAATGTTTAGAGCTCGCGCACACCTTTGATTAAACTATCGCACACCTGTTTAAACGCGCTTTGATTCCTATAACCTCATATGAAGGTGCGCACACTACACGATTTTTAGCTGTGCAACTAAACAGTCTAATTGGCTGCGAAACAATCGTTGTGCGATAGTTCAGTCAAAGGTGTGCGCCCGCTTTTAATATAGCTTAGAAATAATAACATTAAAATAAATAAAACTTACAGGATACAATCATGGGTTCAACAACACCTTTCAAAGTGTTTCTGTCGTTTCACAGTTATTTCGAATTAATAATATTTCCTTGGGGCCACAAGGCAGAAGCATGTCCTGACTATCTTCAATTATTAGAAGGCGGTGCGGTTATGGCTAGAGTATGTGAACTTTCAATTTCCATAAAGTAATAAGTTAATGGTAATTAAGACAGAACATTTAAAAAACTAAAATAACATACAGAATCAATTGTAAATTAACTTTGAAATTACTGATCTTTACTTCTTTATAAATCATATGAAAACCAAGAAAACTCCTATCTGGTCACAACAATTCAATGCAATGGTAATGAAACTATGTTCTTGAATTTCAAATAATTTGAGGTATTTTACTTTTTTTAGGCGATCTACGAAAGCAGTGGTTTGATATATAAAGTGGGCAGTACTAAGGATATGACGTACAGTGCATGCGGAACTAGCACAGATTGGAGTTATACAGTAGCAAATATCCCCTTCTCTTATATGATAGAGCTACGGAGCAAAAAACACAAGTTTCGACTTCCTAAAAGCCAGATTATAGAAACTGGAAAAGAAATCTGGAACGCTGTCGGAAAACTTATGGAATTTGTAGACCAATATTAAAATATTTGGTCATAAATTAGATCCTAAAATTTCTACAAATTTTGTTTGGTTTTGTATTTGGTTTTTGTATTAACAGATATGTTTGTGTCGTAATGTTTGTATAAAAATGTATATAAAAATCAATCAATTGAAAAAGTAAATAAAAATATTACAATCGGTATAATGTAATTATTTTTAATAAACATTTTTCTAACAATTTACAGTATTTCTTTATGTCTTAAAGGTTCACAATTTAAACATTTCTTTTTATCTACATGTTCAGCGAGAGCTTTTACACCATTCCATATTTCTTCACAGCATTCGATTATCTGTTTTTTGGGCAAAGCGAATTTATGTTCTTTACTTCTTAACTCGACTAAATATGAATACGGTATCCGCGCGATACCGTAGCTCCAGTCGATACTAGTGCCACTAGCTGGGTACATTAAATCTCTGAAGTTACCAACTTTGTAAAGACGGCCGCTTGTGTCGTAAATAGCCTGAAATTCAGTTACTCGCTTTTACTTACATTATGGATTAAGTAGGATGTTTAAACATTCTAATCTTGGAAACTAATTGGGTTTCAATTATTAACTTTTCATTTTTGCATCACGCTTTATAAGACAACTTTAGATCGTTAAAATAATGCTTACTATCTTATCTTAGAAACTACAACAAGATGGTTAGAAGAAGCTAAGCAGATCTCGTTGAAGTTTGGATTCATTTTTAAAAGCTAGTTAGACATAAATAACCACAGAATATCATTACCTTCGACATGACAGTTGCTCCTTCAAGTAAATACACATAATCGGGACAAGGGTCAGTCGTAAAACACCAGGGGAACGTAATAACTTCACTGTACGAGTGGAATGTCAGAAATATCTTAAACGGTATCGACGAATACAAAATTAAATCCTGCAAACGATAAAATTGAGTAACACACTTCTTTTAATTGGGCATCCAGTTAATTTTAAAAATGCGAAAGTTTAGATGGATGAATGGATGTTTGTTAGAGTTTTTAGCCTAAATCGCAGAAAGCTAGTATTTCTGTAGGGAAATCTTACTTTCAACAATAAAAAAATGTTAAACAATACCTTAATAGCACCTGCTTCTGGTTCAGAGAATGCACTTGATCCTCTAAAATTATTATGATTAGGATCGCCAGACGAGAACTCTGTACCATTTACACCCCATCTTACCCTGCAAATAAAAAGCTTTTTAGAGAAAAACATTAACATTCCAAAAGTATGCATACAGATTACTATATCATTTCCTTTCAATGAAGCTCGTTTTTAAGTGTTAATTCGATAGTGTCCAGTGTGTCGAACCACTAATTTAAAAAATCTACTGCACTAGTTAGGTGAAAAATTCGTGAAAATTTGATTTTAGTGTGTTTACAATAATATTTTTTTGCTACTTAAATCTCTGACTAATAATAGGTTAAGTGTACCAAAGTAATGATTACCCAAAATTTCTATTAAGATCCACTCCAACCACGGTCGATCCGAGTCGAGATCTATTTTTCCTCCACATTCGATCATTCGTGTGCGTATAAACATATCCATCCGGATTCACGACAGGCACTAAATACCTTAAAACAAATCATTCTTGATTATCATAGTAGAGTTGACACATAGAGCAGTAGAATACGCCATGTTTACCAGTCTTTATTAGTGATGTTCGTTGGCATATTGTCAAAATTCTTCGCTAGCTGCTCGCCTATGTACAACACAACAGATGCACTGATCCATTCACGGGCGTGTATCGTACCGTCCAACCAAACTCCTGTATTGCTCGCATTGCTGTTAGAAACTTTAAGCAACTGGAAAAAGTTCGAATCTGTTATTATGCAACTTGATAGACAGAATTTCCTCTTTTAGTTGTAAAATATTTATGCTAAAACTATAAGATGCAATTAAAATACAAATTACGTTTATTTATAACTAGCTGTTGCTCGCGACTTGGTCTACGTGAAATTGAAATTGTAAAAAATGTAGCATATAGCAGTATTTTACTCAGCGATAACGTAGCTTTTTAACGGTGAAAGAATATTTGAAATCGGTCCAGTACTTTTAAGAAATTTGAATACACACAAAAATACAAATCTTTCCTCTTTTAACATTAGTATAGACAAGGATAAAATCTGCATACCATTATATCCCTGCCCTCCACTGACGTACCGATAACACTCAAAGTGCAAATAGAAGGGTACTGAGTTTCAAGGTCCACTAAGTATTTATAGATTATGTTCAAGGGATGGTAGTCCGTAAAATCAATACCACGGCCTAGAACATTTAAAAAAGCAACATTATTAGTATTCAATTGTTTTTGGCTTCGTATACTTGTATTGTCAGTCTACAGTCCGCTACGTATGATCAGTTTTATCTGAACAATCCGATCGTTCAGACAAATCTGACAAAAATTTGAGAACCGTTCAGTCCTCATTTTTGCCTACACGCGTTAGATTTATCTGAACTATATGCTATTCAGATAAAACTATCAGATAAATCTTAGCGTATGTAGCGGGCTTAAAGCATTAATATATTAGATTTGTATCACAAAAACATTGTTATATTATTTTATTTTTATGCATATACATAAATGTGCAAAGCTTACCATCAGGAGAACCATTTAGTCGTCTGCCACTTTCTGTCACAACATAAAAACTATATTTGAGATATCAATTATTAAGAAAATATAAAACAAAATATTAAACAAAGACAAGTTGCTTCAAAATTAACCGATCCAAAAATCGTATGGCAATCGTCAAACCAAACACATGGGCATGCGTCACACGTATATCATAGTATCTGGCGGAACTGAGTAGACGAGCGTGGGATGGGATACATGTTAGTTAAAGGGGAAGTCATCGGCAAACTTTCTGCGCCTATTATTTAAAAGGCTATCGATTCAAATGAATCAGGAAACTGAACTAATCATTAATAGGTGTAAAAGTTTTTATTTTCTCCAAAGAAACAATATATCGTATTTCCGTATATCTTTCCACCAAGATAATTCAATAAAAGTAATCTTAATTTATAGTCCATCTCCGATAATGGATCGGTTATGAAATTTGGTAGTGTGTGCTTACTTCTTGGTGATTTGGGTGAATAGGAGGACGAAGAGGGACTAGCAAGACGTAATCTCCCCATAGCGTCGGCATTGGTTTCCGTTACTTCATACACGATGTTCCGATTTCGAAGAAGCTTTTCCAGTTGCATAACACGCGTTCCTTCTACAGACACATCTACGTCATCTTTATTTTCGCTGCAGATGTTTATAGCTGGAAATACATTGTAAGTATAACTGAAATAAGTCCTTTATTTCTATATAAATCGCTAAAGAACATTAAGTAAAAATCTGATGACACCAAGACTACCCACTTGTAGAGGTTATAAAATACTGTCAAACTGTCGCAAGTAAGATATTCTGCAAATGATTAAGTTTAAAATTTGATTTAAACCTATCTAAATTTGAGTCAACTTACTGCCTTTTGTATCCAAATTTTTGAGGAAAGCCCTTTGACCATCTTTTACATTTTTTACAGACCATATTTGAAAAGTGCGTGTTCTTCTTTGTGACACCTTGACAATTTATATGTGATTATTATTTGAATAAAACTTTTAGATTTTTAATGATTTTGGAGATTATTTAATTCATTAGACGAAAAATTTTTGCGTTTGACATTTCACGAAACGGACCAAAATAGGGAACAGATAGATAATGGCATATTCTTTGACAACGAGGATGTATTACCAACACTGACCTGTAATAGTATGTCAGCATAGGCTATAAGACATCGTATTTTGTGTCTATTTGAATTTCGCTTTCGTGACGCTGACGGTCGCGGTTGGCTATAGTGGTGAGAAATAGAAATAATAATAGATATACGGCCGGTCTCAATATGCAATTTTTTCAATCGAAAATCTCAATCCGTATCCTAATCTTTTGAAATACTGTCTCAATAAACGACCGAACGATAGAAATTCGATCTAAAAACATGACTAATCTATCGGAGGGAAAAATCTGATTTCTAACACTTTTCGGATCGCCCTCTGTTTGAAAGTGACAGTTGTAGTGTTTCAATAAATGTTTTTGGAATTTTGACATATCTCTCAATCTTTATTTTACAATCTATGGAAATCGGAAGATTCTACTAATTTATTATGAGATTAAAAAATGGTTGGCTTGTTGCCGTATAGTGATAGCTGATAGTGAAAGTGATTTGGAAGTGTTAGAGCAACTTTCAGACTGGGACGAAGAAGAAATGCATTTATGGCGATGGTAGTATTTCAAATAAAAACTTTGCGAAAATCAAGCCTTTATATTTATTACAAGAATACAGTTTTTATATTTGTTACAAAAATAAAGTTTTTAATTATTACAAAAATAGTAGTACAATAAAGTAAACAAACAACAACAAACATTGAATTTTTCGCTTATCCGTGTCCATTCTTCATTTTTCAATTTATTCGTGGTAGCATTAGTCAATCATCAAGTCAATTTAATTTCACTGCTTTCAATGAACGAAAGCAGTGTTTTCGTGTCCTCCTTCGTAAGAGGCTTGCTTGAGGTCTGGAAATAATAAGAAATTACTATGTAGAGGGTTTATACAAATTAGGAGCGAATTGAAGCATATTCACGGGGGAAGTTTATTGAAAAGTGTAGAAAGTAAAAACATGTCAAAAACACAATAAAAGTATACATACCATTGCACTTACACTTTCGATGATAAATATTTAATTGTTTATCAAAAAACACGAATAGAAGCTATATAAATTTCAAATTAATAGCTGATGTAAATAACATTGACAACTGATGTCAAATGACATTGACAGACAATGTATTCCTCTGATTACGATCTCGTACCGCTACCAAAACTCCGAAAAGGGAGTATTCGTTGATGACAATTTGCTTGGAACATGTTGAAACACGTTTTATTCGTAAAATACGCAACAAATTAATAATTAGTTAGTACGTCAAAACCCAAAAATGTGCATATTTTCTTAAATTCATCAATAGGTTTACAACACAGTCATAATGACATCTGCTTGAAATGGAACGCCAGGAGGGAACTTCACAAAGAACATCGATCCCGCTGATCCATTTTGAAAATCGGTTGATGTTTGCTATCTGGTGTTATTGAGACACCGGTTAGTGATCAACCAGCAGGTCGTTTTATTTCTCGATTGAAGCGATCTCCCGATCCAGGATGCGTTATTGAGACCGGCCGATAGAGTATATTGTCAGTAAATAACACGTTAAAGTAAGAACAAAACAAAAGAGGTCGTTTCCAAGCAATCGCCTTTCCAATTAATACAACATTTACCAACCTAACCAATATAAATTTTACATGTAAACTTCCCGGTTTGAAATACATAGAGGTTTCATAAAACATAAACTGCGCTTTTCTTTACACCGCAAACTTTTATTACTATAATTGTGGAGTTATTTATTCGAATATTAATCAGTATAAGAAGTGCAAAATGACATTTATTTTAATATGAATCTTAGTAAGTACTAAATGCTTAATACTTAGTAAGTAAAAAACATTTCACATAAGGTACCTTGTGTGAAACATTTTTGTGCAAAAAGACGATACTGCAAAAGCTTCCTTAAGAAAATTGTTAATCAGTGCATAGTTCGAAACGGTTATATAAACAATGCGCTTGTAATCAAGAAGAGCGAGTCAAAGGACGAAGGCGCTAAGTCGCGCGGCCCCGCTCAATAATTAGATGTAATCAGATATTTTCAGTAAACGCCACCCCCTCCCTTCGCCCCGACTATGCACTCCCTGTTAATGAAATAGCCACCCCTACTTCCTGTTCGCAAACACGTAAGTAACTCACTTTATAACTCGAATGAACCTTACTTAACTTAAGCAGGGAAAAATTAAAAACATTTAACTTTATGATGTATTATAATTCTCCAGTTTTGGAATTTGTAGAATAATTTGTAAAAAAAAGTAGATTTGATTCTTTTTCTGTTGAATCCAAAATATAATAATATACCAGTTGTATAATCTATCATAACCTTTTGTTTTAACTATCTGGTCTTTATATCTCTTTTCCAAAAGTTGATCTTGCATGTCTAGTTCTAAAAAATAATTTTTCATCATCATTGAGACATTATTTCGAATAAGGTAGTTATTGACAATTAAGCAAAACTACTTTCTTTCCTAGGTTCTTTTGAACATTAACTAAATGAAAATTTTAATCATTACGTATAAGTCCGACAATGCTCTGTATCGAGAAAAGACTTCTCCATATCGAAAAAAGACTTAAATAATTGACATCCTATTAAATAAAAACTTACATTCGTAAAGAACTCGAACGTTTCCAATGGTAGCGTAGGTAAGTTGGGTAACCCGCTAACCAGACGTCGGACCCCAAACGGCGCCGCCCCGCCCGCCGAGATGTCGCCTCGACTTCGTCTTACAGCGTTTATCTTTTTAATTGTGCCCCCTACAGTGACGGCTGCTTGTTACGCGCTACTTAGATTTATTTTGTACTGATCAGCCTCACGTTCTTAATACTTAGTAAACACATAAAATGTAGCATACTAAGTTACTCTTTCGTATTTTATGGAATAACTAGCTTTCGCCCGCGACTCCGTCCGCGTGGTATAAATAAAAACAAAAGAAAGTAGCCTATGTGTTCTTCCAGACTATCCTCTGCATCTATGCCAAATTTCATCCAGATCCGTTCAGTCGTTTAGGCTACAAACTCTAACAAACATCCATCTATCCATCTATCCAAACTTATAATATTAGTATGAAGTATGATGATTGTTTTTTAATTCACAATCAAGTCTAGTACTTAAAGTTGAGAACCAACTTGGCAGATGCGTGTAAAAAATTCGCTTTTTGATTTTAACAAATCTTTAGACTATATAAAATGGATTACATTCTTTATCGATTTTTTGGTACAGTAACTCTAAGGGTTTTAGTAATTAGTCGCTAAATGCGTTTGGAGCGTGGGGCTGTTGGGCTCGGATACCCCAGCTTTGTTTTTCATTAGACAATGCCGGCGGCGCGCACCTAACTGTCGCCCCGACTTAGTAATGTGTAAAGTACTTAGACACGTCTCTAAAGTTTACGTACATTTATATTGTCTAAAAGCCAATCTATAAACATATTGTTACTTATAGAACGTTATGTAAGTGTGTAAGTGTAGTAGTTAGAAAAAGAAAAATAGCAATCATACATTTTTAAAAATTGTTCGTAACATCACTAGTTTTTTTTCTTCAATTATGAAAGTAATAGAAAAAATATCGATTATTAATTTTCTTTTAAATATTAACACAATTTTATAATCTGATATTTTTACATTTTAAACTGTCATTATCAATCTTCTATTTTGTCAAAACAATTCTGTCAAACCTACAAACAAAACTGGCGCCTTAAATTAAATAAAATCAACAAAATACATCTTGTAATCTTGAATTTTAGCCGTATCTTGACAACATTTTAAATTCACAAGACACAAAAATACTAATAAACTGTATACTACTTAGGATTATTTTTAGCAACAAGAAATGTACATAACCTATAACTTTTCGTTGTAATAATGTACGGTGAAGAAAAAGATTTGCAGGGAAAAAGTGTAATAATAGTTATATATGCCAACAGTAGATATTTCTTCAATAAAACAAAAAGGATAAAACAATGGTAGTTTACACTCAAGATGAGAATCATAAGGAAAAATGTAAAAACAATGTATTATTAGATATGTACAATGATTCAAGAGAAATATTGCGTATCATAGATTCAAATTTTATATATCAAAATCTCATAACGCGCAATGAACATTTGGACTTGTACAATGAGAAACCACTCATACAAGATGTTGAGTCGAAGAACAAAATTGATTCGATAAAAATTCCTACCACACGTAAGTATTAGTCTTTTGTTAATTTTATCATTTGAGAAATCCTACTAAGAATTAAAACAATATTTAAAGATTAGACTACACACTCTTATGCTATTAAAACATCTTCAAATTAAAATCATCCTGTAGATAAGATCAGTAAATCCACAGCATGACTTCTCAATACAACTCTAAAGACTAATTGGCATAACCGTAGTATTTTTTTTTATAAGATAAAGGGCAAACTAGCGAAAGGAACACTGAATTGATCAACGACGACTAACAACACTAGACGACACCTTTATTTTTATATTCTACCTACCATATATTCGAAAAATATTGTGCAACTATGTTATGCAATGTGTTTGTTCACGGCTTTATAAATAACCTCTTTTATTGATTACAGCTAAACAAAAACCAAACGATCAAGGAATGAATTGGAATGAATATCAAAACCTGGACGTTATCTACGCATGGATGGAGGGTTTGGAATATAATTATCCTTCGCTCTGCAGCGTTGTACCTATCGGAATAACAACAGAAGGTAGGACGATGAAAGTAAGTATTTTACTTATATACTCATTACATTGCTTTCGTTTAGTATTAATTAAAAAAAAAATCGACCGTTGATCATGTCTAATGATATACATTCTTTTTGTATAACCAACATATTCCTTGCCCCAATATTAACCAATATTACTCAATAGATATTGAAGATTTCCAACAGCGACGTTCAGAACGAACCAGTCTGGATAGACGCCGGTATCCACGGCAGGGAGTGGATAGCGCCCGCTGTCAACACTTTCATTGCTAATTACATTGTGCACAATTTTAAAAACCTTCCGTCATGTTTTACTAACAAGGACTGGCAAGTAATCTATTATTAATTGTACAAATTTTCTTATTTTAAATTCTATATCAGCATCCTTGTTTACGAACCCTAAGAGCGGACACACCTTTGACTAAACTATCCCACCACTGTTTGCGATCGTCGATTGTTTCGCAGACCATTCGACTGTTTGGTTGCACAACTAAAAATCGAGTAGGAAAAATCGAGAGCACATAGGAATTAAAGCGCGACTAATCAGTTGTGCGATAGTTTAGTCAAAGGTGTGCGTGCGCTCCAAAGTTGTCTGGAAGTTTGCTGATGCGGAGATTAATGATCGTTGGTCTTATAATAGAAGGATGAATATGTAATTTATATTAGTGGAAAGTTTTATTTTCTACTTCAACAGGTATTTTTTGCCGGTCGCAAATCCTGACGGATACGATTATTCGCACAAAGTAGATCGCATGTGGAGGAAAAATCGAGCGTCGTACGGCGGTGAAATATCCGGCGTTGATTTAAACAGAAATTTCAGGTAAATTTCTTAACATAAACACGATATAAAAACTAGCCCATTAACTAAAATAAATACTCTATTGTCAGTAGTTTACATTTTAAATTGTCAGTTAATTATACAAAGATCATCAATCATGTTTAATGTATCGGAATTAAATTGCATTTAAGTCTCGAAAAACGTAATAAACGGTCCATCACAATACTAGTTTTACCATTCATATATATCTCATTTAATTATAGATCGAATTAAAAAAAATACCTTTTATTAATGTCTATTTTTAAATGATAAATTAATATTTTTAGTTTCGGTTGGGGAGGTAGACACTCTTCAACTGATCCTTCGAGTGCGTTCTTTAGAGGTAAAGAACCTTTTTCGGAGCCGGAAAGCAGTGCTATGAAAGTAACGTATAAGTATTTTAATAACAGTCAAAATTCACAAATTACTAAAGAGGTTAAAGACTTTAAAACTTGGAAGAAAAAGTCACAACGGAATATATCAATCTATCACGTTGTGACAACCACTGTGTATGTCTTGGAACCTTAATACGACATACTAATATTATAAATGCGAAAGATGCGAATGGATGGATGGATGTTTGTTAGAGTTTGTAGTCTAAACGGCTAAACGAATTTTGATGAAATTTGATATGGATGTAGAGGATAGTCTGAAAGAGCACATAGGCTATTTGGTTTTTTTTCTAATTCCAAGCGAACGGAGTCACGGGCTAAAGCTAGTATTTTTATATATGTATGTATGTGTTGTAAAAACTTGTAAAATATCCGCCAATGAATATGTAAATCCGGTATTATTTAGATGTAATATACCGTTGATACCAAAATCGTGTCATCCGCGATGGACGGAGAGATTAAACTGCAAATAGGATTTAGTCGTAAATCAATTGCAATGCATCAGTTTTAAATCTATCCGCAGCGTTAAAATAATAGTTTAAATAGTTTAATGCTCGTACATAAATTAAGTTGTTACATTTTGAGTTTGAACGATGAATTACCGAGGTTTTAACAATCATGATTTTTTGGTAAAATGTTTTTATGATCATCAAATTTCATTACACTATTCTAATATTACCCCTTTTCAAATTTACATTATAAAAATAACTGCATCTTCAATATTCGTAGAAATCTAGACACCGTATTAACTTGGTAAAATAATTTTCTAGTCTTCTTTACCTATTTTTTTAGGACATTCTCATGAATTCCGGGATCAAGTTTAAAGTGTACGTTACATTACACAGCTTCGGCCAAGTGATCGTGTTCCCTTTCGGATACAGAGATGAACTTTGTCCGGATTATATGCGACTGCTTCTAGGTGCTACTGCTATGTCAAAGGTCTTTCATATTATTAGTATTATTGTATGAAATACGATATGAGAAATTTAATGGTTTTTGAGAGAGTTATGTCTTTTTTTTTTCTTAGGCTATATTCCGATCGACTGGCAACGTTTATAAAGTAGGCATATCTAAGGACGTGATGTACGGCGCTTCGGGTACCAGTACAGATTGGAGTTATGGTGCAGCGAAAATACCTTACTGCTATTTGATCGAACTTAGAAGCAAAGAACACAAATTCGAACTACCTGAAGAAGAAATTAAAGAGAATTGTAAAGAAGTTCTGCATTGTATTCATGCATTGATGGACTTTGTGGATAATAATCCTGTTAATAATGAAAATACGAATTTGACCCCAGTGCCAAGTTAGGCTAAAATCAAGAAGAAATAACAAAAAAAAATGTAAAAAGTAGATAAAACTTTTTACACGCTGTTTTAAATACGTTTTCAAAATTTATATAGTTAATTAGGTAAAAGGTTGTCTCAGAAATAAAAAATGCTAGCAAGGAAATTTTGATATGCAAAAATAATAAAGGCATTTGAGACCATCATTACTTATTGTTACGTAAAGTTTGAAAACATCTTTATAAGATACTCAAAGGGAAATATAAACTTGCATAAAAATTTCGATATGCAAAAAATCTTAAGAATTTCTGAGATCACTGATAACTATTAAACTTTATATAATATAGTAATTTACCTTTAAACACAGTTAATTCAAAACTAGTGGAAAAACACCAAGTAATATGAATTAAAAAATGTAATGAATTAGTTTTGAGATAGATTTCAAATGAGAATTGTTTTGATTTTAAATAAAAGAAGGTTTTACGCAAAGACAGCAAGTTGAAAAAAAAGAAAACAAATTGTCACGTAAACGTCAAAAAATATGAATTCGTTTTAAAATGTAACTCAAATGATACATAAATTTCAAGTGATATATTAATTCAAACATTCCGCTCATCACACAATAATATCTATGTTTTTAATCTGAGAGTTTTATAAATTCGCTCAAAGTGGCACCACCATGCGTAAAGTCGCTTGGGGGAAAAACACAAGTATGGGAAGTGAAACTTAACAGCGAGAAGCAAAGGTGTTTCATCAAGACGTTGGATACGGTCGGAGGTACGTTACCAGAGTACTACAATTCACACCTAATTTCAGAAATACACACTAATTTTGAAATAAATTATTATTCTATAAAATACTTTATGATGTCTGAAGTCTACATCTATACTTATGTTTTGAGGCCTCTTCAAATTATATCTTGTATTTAAATTTCCATTTATTTAGAACTAGCTTTCGCCCGCGACTCCGTCCGCGCGGAATTTAAAAAAACAAAATTAAGTAACCTATGTGTTCTTTCAGACTATCCTCTACATTTGTGCCAAATTTCATCAAGATCTCTTCAGCCGTTTAGGCTACAAACTTTAACAAACGTCCATCCATCCATCTTAACTTTCTCATTTATAATATTAGTAAGATAGTCTACTTATTGGATTTATCTTGACACTTCTTCTATGAAGAAAGAAATATATTGATGCTGTTTCATTTCTTTCAAATGAAACATTAGAAATAAGAATATCTCATACTTCTAAGAACATGATTTTGCCAATTTGCCTTTCCCAGCGGTTAACATCTGGAAGGAAGAACGTAGCTCAATGGATATAATGGTGGAGGGTCCAAAGTCAACTCAGGTAGCTGAGTTGCTGTACGAGCGGAGCATCCCCTTCGCCGTAGCTATCGGAGATGTGGGCCCCATGCTGGACAGGGAGGGCGTCAAGCCGAAGCATCGGAAATGTGCCACAGGATCAAGTATGTTCTTTGTTAGTTTAAGCTTCACAAAAGGAACTTAATACCATACCTTTTATGTTTACTTAACGTTATTACATCTCTCTTTCTTACTAAATGCAGTGTACATGTTATATTATATCGTTTTCTATAAAGATTTCAATCCTTTATGTAAAAACGACTCCTTGAAACAAGATAACAAAATGTTCATTTTCCCTAACAAAAAAATAATCACAGTGATAGTAGATGACTCAAGATTGAAGTGAAATATTTCTTTCGGAGTCACCGCTCTTCTTTTGTTAGACTACCAAAACAAATGACGTAATTATAATCCGCAATACAATAATTGTCTCTTAAATTCTGAAAGTCATTAGTAAATTATTATCTCTAATTGTTCTAAGGTATTTGTCTTTTATAACTAGCAATTACAAGTAAAGGTTAATTAACTTTAAAGGCAGATTAGTAAAAGGACTTCCTGTGTAATTTAGTAATATATTTAAATGTGAAGATTAAATAAAACTTTCGCATTTGATAGATAGATTTCATGCAGAAAGGTTCTTTACATGTTGCGTAGTTTTGTTTTTAATTCTTTTCTTGTTTAGAGGTACCAATGGATTGGAAGAGCTATCATCGTTTGGGTGTCATTTATGAGTTTATGGAAAGTCTGGCTGCTGAATGGCCGACATTATGCAGTGTGTGTACTATTGGTCGATCTGTTGAAGGCCGCGCGATAAAGGTAAGAATATTGTTGTATTATTATACACATTGTTACTAAATATTGGTTTTCTTAACTTAGCTATTAATCTAAAGAGGGTATTTGAAACTGTAACTTTAAAGATTAGTTCGTACGTTTGAACATCACGATTTGTAATAATCAGGGCTTCTCAACGTAAATCCTTGAAAAATCTTACCATTATTTTTAAAAGCCAAAGTTTACATGGATGGATAGATGTTTTTAGAGTTTGTAGCCTAAACTGCTTTACGGAACGGATGTAATTTTCCATAGATACACAAGTTCAATAAATAAGTTAGCAATTAAAATCAGTTTTCCATTTTTTAGTTCATTGTTTTTCCTATGTTTTTTAAAGATACATATGATATTGGTTTATGTCTGTTTTAGATGTTAAAGATATCTAACGGGCGGTGTAACAATGCGGGCGTATGGATGGACGCGGCGATACATCCTCGCGAGTGGATCAGCACGGCGGTGCTCACTTACGTCGCAGACCAACTCGTCAGGACATACGATCAGCAGCCGGATTACATTACAAATAAAGATTGGTACGATATTACATTGCAGCATATCAGTTTTATTAACACTTTGAAAGTCATTTATGTTTTTTATTATTCTTTTTCAGGTTTATAGTCCCTGTTGTGAACCCTGATGGATATGAGTATACTCATACACATGATCGTATGTGGAGGAAGAATAGGGCACGCTACGGCGAATGCTACGGCGTAGATCTTAACAGGAACTTTAGGTAAAACTTTTTAGGAAGGTATAAAGAGTAGTGATGGGTTTATGATCGTATAACTTCCACATTTTTATGGTAAATATAATGAAAGTTAATGTCTTTTTAGCTATGGCTGGGGAGAACGAGACGAAGAAGGGTCATCAGATGATCCTGCTAATATTTTCTACAGAGGTCCTGAACCTTTTTCTGAGCCAGAAACGTCAGCGATAAGGGTGAGTAACTATTTTGCCTTATATTGCTGTTTATTTATACATTAAATGAATGTCTACCAATTTTTAAACCTTTTTTTTCTTCTATGTAAAACTAAAAAGTGTAGATTATCGCAACGATAACTGAGCCTTATTTGTATTTTTCGAGAATAAGTTATAATTTATATATTACAATTACAATTTTAGTGTAAAAATTGTTTTGTTTGTTTTATATTATATTTTAATTTATGTTTATATTTTAATTTATGTTTGTGTGTAGCAAGCGATCTGCAGCGCAGGCACCAAGTTCAAGGTGTTCCTGTCGTTCCACAGCTACGGCGAGGTGATCATCTTCCCCTGGGGCTATACGGGAGATCCCTGCCCTCATTACGTCCAGATGTTGGAAGCAGGCACTGCTATGGCTAAGGTACAATTATCACGTAGTTAAACCATTGGCTTTACTGACTTTCAAACCCAACGGAACCCTTCCTTATTTGCACTTGACAAAAAATGCTTCTATTTTATTTTATTTTTATTATTTTCTAGTATTGTCATTGTGAATCGTACATCTTACTAATATTATAAATGTGAAAGTTTATATGGCTAAGTGTTTGTAAGAGTTAACAAGCCGAACGCCTGAATGAATCTCGGTGAACGTTACCATAGATGTCGACCTTAGTCTGAAAGAATAAATAGTTTACAAGTAACGTTTATTTTATAATTCCACGCGGAAATCTAGTTATTAATATATGTAAACCAAACATGGTTTTTTTTATGCATTTAAGTGAAAAATGGTTTGAATTATTTGCAGGCTATCCAGCAAGCGAGCGGTCACATTTACAAAGTGGGCAGTACAAAGGATCTCATGTATTACGCGTCAGGAACAAGCACCGACTGGAGTTACGCCGTCGCTAACATTCCATACTCGTACATGGTGGAACTGAGGGGCAAGAGACATCGATTCTTATTACCTAAAGAAGAAATAGTATGCACATCCATAGAGGTACTATGCGGCGTATCAAAGTTAATGGAATACATTGAAAAATTCAACAAAATAACTCCAGCGCTTAGTGTCGAGTCCTGCCAGTCGCCGTCATATACAATCAAAGTGCCCCGGACGCCATCATGGGTTAGTGCCCGATGCCATTCCTGTAGGAGTTCCAGGTCATGTTGTAAAAGCAGCCATTCACCCTCGTGCTCCCGATCTCACTCACGACAAAGTTGTAATGCTCAAAAATGTGACAGCACTCATTCTAAGTGTCGTGGATCACCGAACAAACCTTGCAATTTTACCGAATAATATAAAAATTAACTGACAGTTGATGACAATGGAAACTTTGAAATCATAGACTTGATTTTTTTATTGGTATACAAATGTTAAATAGATAATTATAATCAAAAAAACATTTTTCTGACTCAGTTTTAAATGTAACATACCTAATCAGATAGTCAACATTCAAACGACATTAGAGTTTAAAATTAGTTTTTGAACTACGTAATTTTTTTGTATGTCTAGATAGAAGAAATGTTTATTTTATGCTATAATCTAATTTAAACGACACGATCATTTAATATGTCCCTTGTGTGTAATGTAGATTTGGATTACTTTTAACTAGGATAAAAAGTATTTAAAACGATAACATGTTTTAAAATAAATTCTCTTTTAAACTATATTATGGAAGCAATCCAAAAATTTGCCTCACAACCTGCCTTTACATTATGTTCAACATTGGCTTATTGATTCGAGGCTATCGTTGCCAAGTTTTAAATTGTTTTATCATTTTGTACCACACCATAGATATGTTAAATAAAAGAACTGATTAAAAATTTCAGTAACTTTATTTACAGACTTTTGCATTATTTTATAATACAGTCAACAATTAATTACCGTAAGTAATTCACATTCATTTTTCTAACGTAAAAACATCTAGACACGTCACTATTGCACGAATCTCTTATTTTTAACAGTCCTACGCAATACAATAATTGTCCAATAGAACTCGGCAAACCGGACGGTACGACCGCACAGAACTCTGCAACTTTTAAAACATCTCGTTAATATGGACGCCAGACGTCTATAGGCCGTCTCTCCGGCGTCATCATTGCCTTGCTACGTGTTCTCACGCCCTGGTCGGGCCATTCCGGGGATGCGGGTCGTTTTTTTGCTACTCCCGAAATCGAGGAACTACCCTCATCTTCTCGGTCCGGGCTTGAACTTGAATCTTCTCGTGGAGGGGGTGGTCTTAGCCACCAGTCGTATCCACCGTAGAGCTGTGAGTAGAGCCATGCGGGTGGAGTTGGGAGAAGAGGTGAGTTTAGGAAGAGTTGCGCGGCAAGAGCGCTGTGGAAGAGGCTGGATGATGCGGGGAGGGGCTGCAGCGGTTTTCTCGTTCTCACTGACGTAAAGGCGCCGGGCCGTTCATCGGGCGGCGGGCTGTCGGAGGCGGTGACGGAGATGTCGTCGTCCTGCGGCGAACCGGGCCGCGACGTGGCAGGGCTCGTCGTGCTGTGCGCGTTCATAGTGGTCGGCGTCTCTGAAGCTACCTCTGTAGTGAAAGTGGAAATCAATAGGAGAATTTTGCAAGATTTATTAATATCTTAAAATTGAATCTATTGGAACATTACCGGTCTCGTGAGGCGGCGGAGGTATGTGGGGATGCTGCGCGTGAGCAGCCGGCAGTACATGGGGCGTGAAGTGCGCGTGTGAGGGCAGCATAGGGGGTGGGTAGTGACGTGCGAGCGCTCCCCACTCGCCCCCCGGTAGACCTGCAAGCTGGTGAGCTATGCCTGAAACAAGGATTAAGCCGACATTAACAATTTTTCTTAAATATCCTGTTTCGGGACAAGCGAATTTAATTACTAAAATCTCGTTAGTCCTAGGGTGTTAAGCTAGGTTAGTAGGTATATATTGTTTTAAACTTTTAGCAAATATTTTGATGAAACATTGATTGAGACGACAGGCAAGTGAATCAACAAAACAATGACGCTAAGAGTTATCGCGAGACGCTCCACTAACGCTAACGGCGCGCTTAACGCACTCATCAGAATATTTAAATAATGAGTGAGACGATTCCCGCCTCCCCCACAAAGCCGGTTACAATTCCCTTCTTATCGCATCACGAACAGTCTTCAACCTACAAACAGTCAACTTAATGCCAATATTAAATTAATTTATACCTTTTTCTTAATTTTTCTACCAATTGGACTGTTATTAGAATGCTTAAAAGTGTTCTCTCTGCCTTTCAATTCATACAAAAATAACAAATATACTTATGCTAATATTTAAAACATTCCTAATCACATTACAGGTGATTTACCATTGTCAACATTTGACAAAGAAGTAATACACGAAGTAGTTTATCAATTGAAATTAAAACAAAACAAAGCAAGACAATTAAAAAACATATTTGTAAAATAGGAAATGTGTTTTGGTGTCATAATTTCCAGTTGACATTTTTAAGCGCATAAATTAAGGAAGTTTGCCGGCGCCGCGACCCCGTATATTCGGCTTAACCCTTTAGCACCCACCTTGGGTAATTCCCACCCCGAGCCAACCCAACCCTTTCAGCAATAGAATAAATTACAGGCCGTTTTATGTCGCAGATAGCGTCGCTGCGAAAATGTAAAACACATTATTTTGAATCCGACCGCTTAGCATTTATAGGTGTAGTGCCGCTCTCCGCTGCAATTAGACAAAAGATGTTTTTGAGGATTACTCCGTTTATTTCAAATCAGCTTGATGCTTTACGATTCGAGATATTGGATCGGCTTTTGTAAAATCGTTTTATCGCTTCTCAAGCCCCACTCATATAGATTAAGACGTAGGCAATAAAATCATTAATTTAAATTTATAAAAGACCGCTTTCGCCCGCGACTCTATTCGCGTGGAATTTAAAAAACAAAAGTGAGTAGCATACGTGTTCTTCCTGACTATCCTCTACGTCTCTGCCAAATTTCATTGAGATCTGTTCAGCCGTTTAGGCTACAAACTGTAACAAACATCTATCCATCTAAACTTTCGCATTTACGAGTATATTAGCAAGAGTGAGAAGTACGAAGTTGGAGTGAAATGTCATATTAATTTTCAAATGTGTCTCTTTATTAAATTAATCTCATTAATATGTTTGAACAAAAGTTTTATCTTGGTGATGGATATTTTGAATTACTTAAATGAAAGTTACATGGAGGTCACAATTTAAATACTGTGTTTATTGATTTCGCATTACATTTGTGGACATTAATATCAATTATTAATAAGATCTCTATGTTTACAATATAAAGATAACAGACAGATATTTACTTATCTTTGACATGACAAATGAAAAGGCATTGTTTTATTGTGTATTCGTTGTTCAAAGTTCTAGAAGAAAGGGCCGAAGCGGACGATTTGCATTCGTTAAAATGTTGGAATTCTTTGTTGTTGTGTGCACAGTGTGTAATCGTCGAATAGTTAGACCACAGATTTAGATCCAATGTAAAAAAAAGAATTCGACATTATTTAAACTGACTTTTAAACAAAGATATCACAAATATAAACTTTTCTTCTAAGTCTTAACTTTGTAACTCGATTTATAATTTTTATATATGTTATATTTTGTCACTTTTTATATTAATAAACCACAATCATAGTACACTTATACAATATAAAAAGAAAATAGTATGCCTATCTCGAATGTCTAAGGTACATTCAATCAATTCTCATTGATACAATGTCACAATATTTAGCATATAAACAATGTAATTAAAAACTAATCTTTAAAAAAAAGTCTATAAGCAAGTATCAAGAAGTCGTATTCATGGTACAATACTAGAAATCGGCCGTCTCCGAAGACGTGCCTGTACGCTACATTGGCTCAAACGAATGGATTTTTTTCTTGGCGGACTTTGAGAAATCGCGCTCAGCCGCGAGAGGGTTGAACCCGAAACATTTTAATGCCATTTGCTAGATTGCGTTTTGCATTTTTCCCGCTTTAACTTTACCCAGCGCTACGGCGCTAATCCGCGAAGACGTCTGGGATTACCCGGATAAAAGTATTTGCGTTTTTAGTGTGATTCCGATGGCCAGGGATTAGGGAGGAATTTTTAAACGATTGTCTGAAGCCCTTCGTGGCGATTAACGAAAGGGTTGGTAAAAGCACTTTCGAGTCATTATTTTACATCCCTCCTAACATCTACTACAATTTTAAGATAGCTTTGTTCTATTTGTCTTTTATTTTAGCTTAGGTGCATTTCGATACGACTTATTTCAATTACCCAAATTGTTATAACACTTTGATATTATATGGGAATTATTTAATCTTTTTTGATAAAGCAATTCGTATTTTAGTACTACTTTGAAATATTTCTCCCGTATATGATGTCGTTAAATCGTTACTACGAAACCTACACAAAACGAAATTTAGTACGTCAATGTATTTCGTTAGTTTAATTTAATCTAGATCAAAGTACAAGAGGCGTGCTCACATGTTTGGCTCCAAGACGCGACTAGTGGAGCAACAGAGATTGATGTCCTCCGTACATCATAAGGTTAATAAGAGGGCTCGCGAACTAACGACTGCGCTTTGTCAACGCGCCTTAACCCGCCGGGCGCCATCTTGCGCGCCATGTTGGATTTCAATCTGCTTAGAGCTTAATGAATTTCCCTCTATTGATTTTGTTTAACCCCTTTTTGTTTTGCTTAATTAACCTTTCGATGTACAAAAGTGACGTTACGACAAGCAAAAGGTTACGCGATTTGACAGTTTTGTACGTAATTTAAATTAATAACTAGGTGAAAAGTTTTCGCATTACAAGAATATATTTATAATGTTGTTCCTCTTTACCTTAATAAAGTAAAGTTCCTTCATTAATAGTTCTGAATAGTAATAAATCGGATTGATTGGAAAAACTAGGCGATATCTTCCATATTCACGGCCTAGTTGCAAACATTAAGAATGACACAACGCCTGTTCACACAGCAATTTGCTCGTAGCATTTAGAGTTAATCGTAGGCGCGTCATCATCATATGAATTCATTTAAAAGCATTTAAAGGCTGTATAAAAGCGCGAATCACGCCGTACAAAAGACTATATGAGCCGGGCGGGACATTTAAAATTTACAAATGCGTAATTATGCACCCGCATTGTCGCGCCGCGGAAGGGTTACAGCCTCCCCCTACTCTTTCTTCACTCCCTCACAACCCCCCACAATACCGGGGCTTCCGGGCCTAATGCTATATTTAATTTTCTCTAAGGCTCCCTCATTAATAATACGAAGGCTGCGACTTTAAGTGGCGCTCACACGACGGCGCGCGCTACAAGGATATGTAAAATAAATGAAACGCTAATGCGAGCTTCACTTATGCGCTGAATAAATTTAAACTCGCCTATTTAGGCTAAACTTTACAAACATCACTCTTGTTAGTATACCTAATTAGTAGGAGAATATTTTAAATACGATAAAATGTAATTTTTATCGTTCATTTTAATATAATTTAATGCAATTTTGTAATGCCGATGCCATATCCAGTATCCGAAATTCTAAAACATTAGTCGTGCGTGTAATAGCGACGCGTGAACGTGAGTGAGGATAATTCATCATGATTTTAGAAAGGTTATTGCCTCTCGAACTTCTGAGAGCTTCCGCGACTTTTGCCTTTAAACAACAGACTTTTAAATACATATTTAAGTTTCTCACAATTGCAAATATTAAGCAAATGGTCTGGACATGTTTGTTTAAACATATTTAGAAATCTTATATTTCATAGTTTTCATTAAAATAAGGCAGTAAATTAATTTAAATATCTATAAATAGAATAATAATGCATTAACTTGAAGCTACGCATTGTCTACGATCGCCTACGTTCGCCTACGCCTCGTAGCTTCCTAGCGCGAGGTGTGTAATTGAGTTACGGGCCTTTGACACCCGCCTTAACGAGGTTTGCTCGACTTGCGTGTCCCCCACGCTTGGCTTCACACTATACGATACTGTAGCGTCTTGTGCGTTCGCCTCTAAGATGACGTAACGTGTATTGACCGTATATTGTCGGTTAACTGGACACGTTACGTCACCATACATACTCAATCACGAGTATATACTCGTAGTAACGATAACCTCTACGTTGCTCTACAAATATTTACGTAGTCAGAAATAAGTATGGGTTAAGAAGTCGATAAGTCAATAGACATTGACTCTGTAATGACTTGAATAAACATATCTTAGACAAACTATTTTTAAAGTTTGAAATTATTTTTTTATTTATCTTTAAAGTTTAGAAAACAATGACTATCCGAATTCATTAAGATTAGAGAGGTCTTAATAGCTTTTGTGTCAAATATTTCATAACATTCAATGTTTTTCGGAGGTCTTTGTTAGACTGCACAAGACAGTCGGGGTTGGCACTGCCTAGCGACGCGCTATTCCCGTCGGCCGTCGCGTTGGTGACGGGCTCTCGAATTAAAGGCGTTATTACCGTAATCTATAGACCGGAAATACCTAAAGGAGATGAAGCTTAATAATTATAATTGACATTATTTTCAACTAAGATGATAATCATTTTTGAAATTTTATTTGAACATTTTACTTTAAACCACATCAATATTTTAAAATTTACGTCTCAACCATAAATCTATTTTCAAATAAATTCCAGTAATAAAATGTTAGTATCAAATAATTATAAAAGGTTTTTGGAATGATTTTCTAGTAACGTCAATTATTTTGTTTCTTTTCTCCACCTTGATTGTTTTTATTTTATTGTTTAAAACCTATATTATTAAGAAATCTCTATTTCATATAAATATATAGACATTTTAGATATAAACCAATACAACAAATTCCTTCAATACAACTTACAAACGTCAAAAGAGTGCCGGGACTAATAATTAATTGTTACTCCGAAACTTTTCGGCCAAATTAAATCCCCTCGTAGCGTTGGACATAAATTTGACAACGGTCTATGCTGACAATTTAATATCCAATAGATAGAAATGTTCGACCCTTCTCCTGGCGTACACAACGAGAGTAAAACTCTCGTGTTTTCCTCTTATTTTTGTATTTAAAAACATAGTTTCTATTTCATGATAGAAATAAGTCGTCATAATTTTAAGATGTGAATTTTAGATGTAAAATGGAATTTCAAAATAAGATAGGCGTTTCTGAGATGTATCTAACGAACTCTAACAACAGCATAACCAAGTTTGTACGCCCTAGTTGGAAAATAGGGTTGCTAAAACTTTTTATTGAAAATATCATAAAGTAGATTAAAGGTTTATCAAGTGAATTATTTGATTTTTTTTATTCAATGAACATGTAACGAAACGATACACTAATTATATAATTTCCTTTGTTAATAATATCATGGCTGATTAAGAGTACTTAAAAAAATATAAATTCTTAATTAGTGAGCTTTACAAACATAAATTTATAAAGTTGGTCATGTTCATTAACAAAATATGTAATTTAATGTAGAATTTAAAGATAAAATTATTAAAATATCAACCCTAACGAGCGACGGTAAAGTAACATACTAGCGACTTGATAAAGCTCCTTTAATTTCGAAACAGCCGAAACGCAAGTGAGGTTAAATCACATTTAATTTGGAGAACCTTCAAAAGTTATAAGACTTCAACTAGACTATTACATAAAATAAATTTAATATACAATATGTAACGTAAAATGAAAAGTTCGGAACCGGCGTTAGAAATACAGGTAGGTATTAACAATAATATTAGTTATTTATATAAAAAAAATTACCTGACAGTTTGAATGGTAACGAGCCCATCAGTGGGTCTGGGGCGAACCTAGGTCCGAAGTGGAAGGGATGAAAGCCGTGATGTCTCGTCTTGGAGCGTGGTTCACGTGGCCCGTCCACTGTCACCTTGATCGCCTTCTGGTACGTCGCCACTTGAGGCGGCGATGTCGCCAGCATTATCGTCAGTGTAAATGATTTCCCTGTGCCAAAGGAAAGAAACAGTTAACATTTTATAAGGAGATCGTTACTTAAGGTACTTCCAATACTATCCCTTGGGTAGCAAGTGCTACGCGATAGGCGTTATCGTAGCATTATGCTACGCTCTTACAGAAGGTATTCTTTAAAATCTATATATCTGTGTTTACAATCTACCACAACCGAGTATCTAACAATCATAGCAAGTTGACGCGGCTTTAGGAATGCATTAAGAATTCGGTTCGGGATTGTCAACAATTATTCTGTGTCAACGTAACGCTGCCGTCGCCGAGGCTGATTTGTGGCGACGGAGCAAGACGTGCTGCGTGCCAACACGATGCGACAAATTCCTATCAACATTGTGTACAAAAAAGAAAATGAGACTTTCATTTCTAAAATAAACGTAGAAAAATCAAAGTCCCAACTTTATCGGATAAAATGGAAAAGAAAACTTCTTTTGATTTATCATGATTTTATCTCATAAGGAAGTAAATAAAATATAATATCAAACAGATCGGATTTAAAATTATCTTCAAACATTTAATTAAATCGTTCAAAATTAAAATAAACAACATTATCAAATAAATTATTTCGTATCTGTAACTTCTCATTTTTTTCAACAGTTTCGACAAAAGTACATCTAAAGCCATTAGTAGATGTTTATAAACTAAAAATAGACGTGAAACTCGGTCTAAAACTTATAGTACAAGGAGTGTTACAATGGAATTGGTTTCGTAACGCATCCGCCGCAAACCGACCACAAACAGGCGGCAAGCGCTCGGACAGTCGCCACCATATCGATACACAGAACATTCTGATACAGTTATCCTCTGCACTTAATATAACCAATCTCAACTGGAAAGGAATTTAACATTACGGTAAGTTTCCATTGCCGAAACATTATACCCAAGCACATTTTTAAAGAAGATGAATAGAATGATGTCTATTATCTTTTTGTACAAAACTTCAATATCTAGTGAATCAAATATTACGTTTCTCAAGAGCCTCTGCACACTACAGACTATCGGCGGATAGTTTAGACGGGCGCTTGATCATAAACATATATTTGCTGTAGAATATTACGCCGATTTTGGCTTGTCAGCACAACCCAAACTATAGTCATATTGAAGTCGTCAGTCTGCGGCGATACTGTATCCGAAATCACATTAAATGGTGTAATGTGTGCAATTCCATACATGTTCAAAATGATTGTGCTCCTTAACTTTCCGATGATAAAAAGTCTTTAGTCTGCGTTGGCTCTAAATGTACAAAATATCGTGCTGGTATGTCTTATGAATGCTACAAAATATCTACAAAGTAATACACTTAAAGAAACTGCATCCGATGCGGTTTGCAATACCACTATTGCACTCTCTTTCCAAATCATATTGCCTACCTTTTGAATTAAATGTATTAAAAAACGTTACTAAAATGTATTCAAATATTTGCATTACGTTTCTAAAATAAAGGAGAAACGTTCACAAACAAAGGAGAGGCGTTCAGAGTCTGGCTGGTGGCCAAAAGCCGCGGCGGTCCTTCGGCCATGAAAACGACATAAACAGAACCCACTCCTCCTCCCTTACCCTTCCTGATTACACCCCGCTAACCCGAAATGAGCGGCCACCCGCTTATATTCATAAGACACAAACTTAACGACATTCTTTAGTGTAACCAAAAACATGCTTACATCAAAATGAAAAACAAGTGCGAAAACATATTTCATCTAACTAATGTACTTCAAACCATCATTAAAAGAGTTAGGAACGTAAAACTTTTAAACACACCGAGCCTAGGCCAAACACTATCACAACACAATCTTCATGTGCATTCATTTGAGAAGAACAAAAGCGTAAAGAGAATCGCATACAATTGCTATGCGCCTACAGTTGCACACAAGGTAAACTTAAAATAACAAAAGTGGTGGCGTTGTATCAAAGGGCAAAAACATCTGGAGGAAAATAAAGGGACTCGACGCGTACACAGCATAAATCATTTATGCTATTCATAAAAGACTTGCGTCTACCCTCGCGTACCGACTTCGTGGCCTTACTCTACTTGCATAGGTTTAGAATTGTCGGTGAACTTTTGTTCTTTGCTTAATGGTTTTTAAATACATTTTTAAATCCACACTAGATGTCGTAAGAGTTTAGACAATATTTATTTTAAATGCTGATATTTGTAGAGTTGTATTAGCCCTTTTTGGTGTCGGAAAAACTCATGCTAGTTATTCTAGTACAATTAAGTCGAACATTAGTGTAAGTACATGTATTTTTTTTTTCGAGAATATCACGAACATTAAAAAACGTAAAGTATAGGAATGCGCAATAAAAGATATGCATTACAATATCCACCCCTGTTGAACATATTGCACCCAGCACGTGCGACACACTTCATAAACTGGGGATATTGATCCCGGCGCCCCCTAGCGGCGCGACTCTTCATAAAAATATGTTTGCATCAAATAACTCCGTTTACGCCTAAACGCTATCGCGAGGATAAAGATTTCCGCAAAGACTATTTGTATAATAAGACGATTTTCATATCTAGAGAAGCATAAATCTAAATAATATTATATCCTAAGAATACACTAATTTATCCACTTTTTAATAATTAATATATTTCCATTCTTTAATATTTCAGCTGGCTTTCATATTACTATTAAATTTTTAAAAATGCTGATTTGAATAGAAAAAAAAATAACCGATATCAAACCCCCGTCTTAATGGAACTGTAGCCGGCAATTCCGTGAGCATGTCGGATTAAAAATCAGCTTTATAACGTCATAAAGTAGGCGAGGGCCGCGTTAAGATAAGAGTTCTTCGTTTCGGAAGCTAAATAAAAAATGAGCCACAAACGTAATGGTAGCGAGCGCCTTTGATCTCGGTTTCCTGGCTTACTGGGGATTTTGTAGCTCGGAGAGCGGCAATTCGGATATAAAATAGCTAATGTGCTCCGATACGCATTAAGGACATTAGCAAATTGACTATGCGGTGCTCGGTAAGCCTAACCTACACAAACGATACATGTTTATAATGTACTTGATTTTTGTCGACCTTCTGTGTTGAGACATCTTTTATTGTGTATAGGGAGTAGGGATGGGATTTGAAGGGTAGGAAGTTTTTTCTTTTTTGTTACAGTTTTACTAGTTACATCAAATAGCGAAAGTTTTAAAATTATCAATTGTAAAATTATTAATCGAATAGTTTTGTGGCAAGCGATGAAAAAATTTAAAGTAGTTTAAAATGTTTAATGAAAGTTGATCTTTTTTCCAATAACTAAATAACAGTATGTAACACAAACCTCGCTCTTTAAAGAGTATTTAATTTTTTTTTATAACATAAGGTGGCAAACGAGCAAGCGGCCACCAGAATCCGCTAAAATGGCGAAGCGACCGCTGCCCATAGACATCCGCAATTGCAGATGCGTTGCCTACCCTTATCCAACGGAGGAGGAGACGCACATAAAGAGGATATTTCCCATTCCTATGCATCTCCTCCACCATCAAATCCACTTCTAGTTGCCATCCTCTCCTTTAAAAAAGGGTGACAAAAAGAAAGGGACTTAAACTAGGCCTCCGGCACCACACTCATCAGTCGAAACACGGAATTGTTTCCATTTCACGCCTGTCTTCTGTGTGGTCGTGGTATTACACCGGGCGTGCCGGCCTATTCGTGCTAAGATGTTAAAGCGGGCACTACCACTGTTAAAATAATAGTAAAGATAGTAGATAAAATAATAATTAAAAACCATTCCGGTACATGACATTCAAGTCCTAAGTAATATCAATTCTAAACAGCCAGACAAATAAAACAGCATAAACACGAGAGCTCACTAAAGCGAGCGAGACGCCGTAAAATACAAGTTTATTGAACCGTCTTGAAAGAACGCGAGCAAAGTCAAAAGGCGGTACAATTAAAAATCTCCCCCGAGACTCACCTCGGCCGAGCGGTCAATATTACTCGTCGAGACCCTCAATTTTCACCACTCACCCTAACGCTAATAACAATAATTAGGAATGAGTGGTTCAATAATTAAAAACGGAAAGAACAACTTGAAAAAGACGGGAAGGAAAAGAGGTCCGCGAATCTCCCTTTTGGCAGGTTTTGTCTCGCTTGCACATCTTAATTTCTCTTATTATTTTTCACCGGGGTTAACATCGCCTTGTAAATTAATGAATATTAAAATTGTCCCCCAAAGGTGACGCGGAGGACGCTAGTCGACTTTGTTTTAATTATCACCGTTCTCAAATATCTGAAATAGTTCGATTTTATCAGGAGACAGGTGAAGTAACTGACTCTTACACCATTTCATTTACATAACTTTCTTCTCCTTAAGGACCTCGTACACATGAAATTCTAAAATCAAGGAAGAAGAAACACATTGGTGCAAGGCCAGGGATCGAAACTGGACGTATAATGGTCCGGTCCGGACAAGCGCTTAACAACTGCACCGGCGCTCTTAATGGAACGATTTTAACGAAATACAAATTTCAACAAAAAATAACAAGCGAATAACAAAAAAAAACTTTCCGTATTAACCTTAAGTGTGTGCTTCAAATTTATAAAGTATAAAAGCTTTGTAAGGGCTTTAAAATAACTGCAAATTTAAAAACATTATTTAGTACGAGGGCCACCGGTGCTGTGTATCAAAGGGAATCTCTCCAGTTAATAACGAAAGGTGAGGCCGAGATCTTTTTCGCCGCCACTCTTATAAAAAAATAATTTCGTACGTCGTAGGGCGAGGGACGGAGAGTACCGAAGGGCCGAACACGTTGAGTCTTATTACCAGTATTTTCCTGTTAATTATAAGCATAAGTATTTATAGTGTGTACGTATTATTTATATATACTTTTTAATATCACGTAAAATAATAAATCAATGGGAACAGTAATGATACATGGGCTGTATTAATTAAGGTAAGGATACTCTACGTGTTACTCGTAGTAGATTTGAAAATAAATTTAAAAGATGTTGATATAAGTTGGTAGAGGACAATTTGAACGAACTTATATCTTGAGATTAACCCGAAAAAGATACCGTGTAGGTAGACTTTTTAAAGCGGTATCTAATGTTTTTTTTTTTCCTATTTGTGCGCTTACTTAATTTTTTTTCAAAGATTTTGCGACAAAGTTAAAAATAAGTAAGAATGAAAGGACGACCCCAGTCGTATTTTTTATCGACGCGATCGTTCTAAAGTAGGGTCAATCAATCGATTAGCAGATGTCGCGTCTTGCCTACTGGTGCGCTAAATTGGCTCCTTACCCGCGCCGGCGGTATAATAAGCCTCACCTAATCACGTGTTCCAAGAGGGTAACAAATTTATTATATCAATATAAAATCAATTTAATTTTTCATCATCGGCTTTCTTTATATTACGGCAGACAGTATAGTCGAACAAGGATGTCTTGCCCGGAGAGAGACGCTATTGTCAGGGTAATCATTTTAGAAAATACATAAATTTAGAAAGCACAAAACAATTGATAACGTTAATAACTCATTTGCCACAATGTATAAAACTTAGCACTCAAATCAACCAATCTTCTAAGGTCGAAGCGTTAAATTATAAATTCCTTTTCGAAATTCGAAAAGACGAATGTCCATTTCCCGCGTAACGCTGACACGGCCGACCGAAGCAAAAAGGTCCGAGCCCTCATTAAATTTTTCGCTTATTAAAAATTCCCCACGCCCGCCCGTCAACATTAGATAGGCCATTTTTTTTTATTCCGAGAAGAAACAAAAGTTATGTTCCGCGGGGCACCGATCTCCCCTTCGTCCTTTAGCTCGATAATTTGAGTGAGATTTTCTCGCAATTTAAGATAAACAAAGAGAGCGCTTACCCTTAATTGGAAAGCAGAACGTTCAGGAAGGAACGTGACAAATAGACACCTCTTAACTTCTTTTCCATTTTACCGCCGCCGCGCCACCGTCCACGACTATATTGGTTTTGCTGGCACGTTGTTTGTTTGAACGAATTAATGAGATTACTAATGATCGAATTATAAATAAACAGGCTATAGCTGATTTGTTTACTTTTTCATTGCACATTCTTGTTATTGCACAGTATTTCTAAGTTTAATGAAGTTTCTAAGTTATGTTGCCTTATAAGTTTAAAAAGTTTTTAAAAGATTATCTATGTCGGGTTTATTTTAACGGGATATTGTTAAAAAACACTATTCCAAAACGTACCGAGTAAAAGTGCACAGTGTAACAAAGAAATCAGAAGCAATGTATCCTATCAAAAATTCAACAAACTCGTTGATTTAATTAAATTACTAAACCCTTTGTTAAATACAAGACTTGTGGAATATAAATAGTTCAACACTTAACTCATCTAGACCTAAAAAAAACATAAAAACCCTAAACTAAAAATATAGTTCGAAATTATATATCTACACTGACATTTAGCATGTTATTCTAAATTTCATAAAAATCTGTTCTTACAACAATAAAAGTCAATCAATAAAATATATACTTTAACATTCGTTGCGTACTCTGTGTCCTGACACAGTAATCGCGCCCTCATCACAACGAGAGCGGGAGTCTGTTGATGTTTCATACAAGTAGCAACCCCCCGCCCCCTGCCCGACCCCCCGAGCACTCCCCGCACCCCCCATTCGCCCGCTTCGTTAGCTCCCCTGCACTATTTGAATATGAGAAGCGAGGCAAGTTTACAGTTGAGCGATACTCGCGACCCTCAAACTTTAAGTTTGCTTCTCGCTACGCTATTCAATATAAAATCGAAATAGTTTAAGAATATACAACCCTTGCTTAAGTACAACTATTTTGTACGCCTCACGTCACTCGGTCAAATTGGATTTAGCGTGTTAAAGTCAAACTTTTGTTAATAAGACAAAATGACGGTAACAAAACATACCGGTACCTACATAATAATTGTTATTATATATCTAACGTCTGAATACTGAAACTAATGTTAAATACATTATTTCATATATGCCTCTTACAATCTAACATACGTCACAATAAGGGAATCATGAGGTTAGTGTGGCTTTATCATTTAAGACGCTGTTACATAAATTTCGTTTCAATATACAGCCGTAGCAGTCGTAGTCTATTATTTATCGTAAAAGGTTGCTGTAATAAATATTTAGTAAGTAATTTAACTAATAGTTGGGCTTTTATTCTCAAGTGAAGGGGTTAAAAACTGAGTATCGCTTACAAGACTTTACTCGGTAAGTGGAGACGTAATTGCGAAGAGCTACAAGTGCCGTCGGTAAGTGAATAAATTGCGCCAGCTATGTACGCCACTTCAATTTTATTTAAAATTCTGATCATTGCTCTAGTTACATCCTGAATAGGGCGCATATAATAGTCAACACAATTAATAATCTAAAAGCCTGAGTATTACGTAAGGCTTTCCTTTCGGCCAGTCATCTGCTCCTTGTACTTTAGTTAACTATTTTAGAAATAAAGGTATATATCTTATTGCACTATTATTATTTGATAGACGACAAAGAGCAATATTATGACAAATTATCACAGCTAAAGTTAGGATAGGACGCAGTTGTGCGCCCGCCTTTGGCGCTGGAAAAAAAGAGCGGCGCCGTAGAAATTTTACCCAGGGCGCTCGTAGGATTAAAGCCGGTTTAGAAATAGTCGTCAAGAGTTTTAACGATTGACCACTTAACAAGAGGTAAGCCGATTGCTCAAGGGTCGTGCAATAAACATATCGCTCGTGTGCAATCGACTGATACATCGTTCAGCTCAGAATCACTAAAAGTGCAGACGTCGCGACGCCAACGCATAATCGAGGCAATTGACCGCCTCTACTTTTACTCGATCGTGTAGCTAGACATATCATATTAAATTTCATTGACCTATTTTTGTGACCGATTAATTTGCGAAAATTAAGTATTTAAGATCTGAACCTACTAAGTTAACAAGGTCTTAGTTCATTCTTTGATTATTTAATCTGTAAATCACTTAAGTTATACAGACTAAGTACTTAGATACTAAAATAATACTTAATTCACACATCCTTATGTGTAACTATGTGAAATAAGTGAAACTAAGCAGTAAACACTGCACCACTGTTTCTTAAGTTAGAGGATTCTGTTACACATTTTCATATTACATTACAGTCGAACTGTACAGTTAAAACTGAAGTATTTGAACTTAACACACAATACCATAGGCAATACTTTCAATACTCCCTATTTCTGTTTTCAGTAACATATCTAAAATAAAATTCAAATATAGACATCCTCTCATAAAAAATCCCCCTCTCCCAAGGGTAAGCACTCAAAAAACAATGCTCCGGGCGCCTTTGCTTCTGAATATTTCAACAGATCTTCTCTTTGTTGGAATATTAAGTCAATGGGGGTAATTGATCTGTTAAAAACCTCACAACTTCTCCTAAACAAACTCATCATTTATATTTGCGAAAACGTACTTATGATATACAAAACATTCTTAGGAAACATCTTATTCCAACATATAATATTCAAATGTTATAATGACTTTATTCTGAGACCAAAACTAGCTTAGATTTCGCAAGAGTCCACAATAAAGAATAACTCAAATGGTGTATATTAATATTTAGAGCGCGTACATCTCTGACTAAACTATCGCACAACTGTTTTGTCTCGCTTTGATTCTTATGAGCTTGTGTGCGCACGTTACTCGATTTTTAGTTGTGCAACTAAACAGTTGAATTGGCTGCGAAACAATCGCATAACATTTGTGCGATAGTTTTGTCAAAGGTGTGCGCACGCTCTGAAAGTTAGTAGTAAATTAAATTGAAACATTCGTGGTATCGAGAACATGTCAAAACTCACCTCTGCCACTCCTGCCTACAAATCTGAGGTCATTGAATTTGGCGACTTGGTTCTTCATAACGGCGGTGCAGTTCCTAAGTTCAGCGGAGCAGTTTTCGTCGTTGCCGGCGCGGACGGTGACCAGAGTGCCGTCACCCACGTCGCCCAGCGCCACCACTTTGAATGCGACTGGTAGCGTTTTATTAGACCGCCAGTGCGGTGGTAGAACTGTACAAACCTAAATAAACGTTTGTATTAAAACTTCTGTCATGTCATCTTTGAACATATCACAACATAACAATCTTTTAATTTTTTATTTCAAAACGTATTTTAATTAATTAAGTTTTCTCGAAATTCTTGTATAAAACGGCATTTTAAGCGTGAAATATCGTCGTCGCTAAACATGAATACCCAGCATTAACTCTAAAGTATTTGGTGTCAAAATTCATATAGAAAAAGAAAAAAATTACAAGGATTATAAAGACAGAAATATCAATAAAAGCTATAAACTTACAACATGTGGACTGCCAGTCTTAACAAGTTCGCCAGGATGGTCTGCAAGAAGTCCTTCCAGCGTTCTCTCAGCCAGTATTTCAGCTGTAAGCGGCTGACTTGGTAGACCACTACCACCGTAACTCGAAGACGGCGCTTCATGTCCGAGTCCATTAGTAGTAGAACTCACTTCACTCGACAGATGCATCGTCCAATGTTACTCAAGTCACTTGAAAATTTTCACTAATACATCACTCGAAGAAAATAATAGTTTATAAATAAATACAGCGTCCGTCACATAATTTCAATCAATCGTTTCGTATTAAATCCATAATAATATTTGTAATTATCTAAATGAAATGCGGTTTTTGTGTTTAGTGATGCCATATCGAGGATTTGTATCTGAAAAAAAAAAGTTTAATTAGTGAATGATTCAGTGGTTAAGATAAAAAAAAAAAACTTTATCTTTATATTATTTTAGTGCCAACTCATATTTCAAGGAAATCGGTACTAAACTAAACACAATTTTAACAATGAAATTCATTTTACATCGATACAAAGGTTTTCTGTCGGTTACTTTGATTTAGTGATAACCAAAAGGCAGCATCAAAGTGACTTCCGCGCGAAAAGAGCACGCACAATCAGTTGCTAGGGCGGAAGGAGTCGGGGTGCCAGATCAAGCGAATACAATATAAAATATTCGTGTATTTTGTAACGAGCCTCTGTAACGACTAATATTGACTCTGCACAACGATATGATGTACATGTAAATTTTAAAATCTACATTTTAAAGGTAAAAAAATAGACTCAAAACATCAGACAAAGATATATTAATATATGCACTGCTACTTTACAGACTACACTAAAAAATATTCAAGAATAGACTTGATTAAGGAAGACAGGAGTTTAATTATTAACATATCAATAGTCACTCAAGTATATGAGAGATAGTATTAGACGTTGTAATAAATTACACATCTATATCATTAGGTATTCCGTATCAGATTGTCAGAGATCAAAGGAGAGTATGTAGAAGCGCGGGTTAACCAGCCGTATGCCGCGAGCGGCGCCGGGCGACCTCGCTTGTTATTTGCCTTTCATTTCCAAACTCATATTACTACGATGGGCGTCGCTTACACCGTTCTTGTAATGTAATGTAGGAAACATTTACACCGTTTATCTGCTGCAATGCCTTTGCAATTTTCATTTTAGTTGTGGTTATATATTACCTTGCATCAGCGGTGAAGATTTCGTGTTCTAACAAAATATTTAGGCAATTAAAAAAAATCGAAGTTAGACGACAGTCATGAATACAAGTAATAAATATGTACATATTTATTACATGTATCTTACTAAGGAATAAGATTAATGATGTAAACTTCGTCGTAACCCTTCAGAAAATACTGTAAACGTAAAACTTGGAATTGCGCCTTTAAGAAAAACATACCAAATTATTCTGACAACGTATTGCTAATATTTAGAAGTAGTGTTCCCGAACCCCAAGGCGGGGCTCACGACAAATAGGCCGATGGATGTTTGCGTAACGCGATATGTCGAACGCGATGTTAAACTTAATTCCTGAAGGGGTGATGCCCCAACATGTCTTTTACTGCCTTTCAACGTGTTCTCTTTGATTTCTAACATAAATGAATATAAAGGGAACTATTTTTATAATAGCACATTAGAAAAGAATTAGTAATTAAAACATTACTAATTGAGAACTTTTATAACAAACTGGCTGTTGCTCGCGAATTCGCCCGTGTGAAATTAAAAAATACAGCCTATGTTACTCCCTGATAACGTAGCTTTGTAATGGTGAAAGAATTTTTGAAATCGGCCGAATTGATTTTGAGTTATTTGAATGCATACAAAATCTTTCCTCTTTATAATATTAGTATAGAAAACTTGAGAACCATAAACAAGAAAGTATATTAAAAACATATGTAACTAATGAGAAACAGATATTTTTCCATACAGAACTACATTTTTTTTTCTAAAGTTCCTATAACCATTAATGTATGACTGCTGTTTTCTTATACATGGGACAAATAATTTAGATTGAGCATTGGATATCCACCTTGGCCTACTATAGGAGTCGTTGGATGCTGAAGGCGAAAGACCGCATTCTGTGTAAGATATTGGGGACGTCCTTTGGGGCAAATCCAACAGTGGGCAGATATAGACATATGATGATGATTAGTTATCCAGTTGCGTATATCACTATTTCCTCATTTTACAGCACAATCATAAGATATCTAAATCCTCAATTACTGTAGCCATAAAATATTAAACATGTACCATAAACGTGCCCCTAAAACATCAGCCGAGATCCCGACAGAGATTCGCAATGGATTTATCTCATGAATAGAAACGCAGTAAAATCTTAACTTAAAAACATGCGGAAAGGGAAGAGGTCGTAAATAATAAAGCATGTACGGCCGTGTGGGGGCACCGACAAGTGGGTTAGCCCTCGTTACTCGGCCCTGCACCCTTCCACAAAGGCACGCGGCGAATGGAGTAAACATACATTGTGCTGTTTCCGTTTTCAATGTACAACGTTTCCTAACAGAGCTTTAAAAATACTGAACATACAATGTCTTACAAAAATAAATGTAATTATTATTTTATTAGCTCTTGTGGTTATTACATTGTTGGTCTTTTTATCTCCAACTAAGTATATGCAATAAAATCTAGATTGCAAATTATACAAAGATATATTACTGTATTAAAGAGGTAAAATGAATAGAGCTATGTTTAATCGACATGAACACCAAACACCTATGAAAATGAAAACCCTTATAAAATAAAGAATTCTATCTCGTATTTTACATTCCAAAATCTAATTTCATCGTCACATCTGTCCGTAAAAATAGACGAAACCCTTCGATTTCTAATAACATCCATTATCGGCCCTACTATAAAGAGAACACGAGCGGAATCAATAGAAGGTGTAGGGACACGAATTCCTGAGGGCCTCCCCAGAGACCCGTCGGACATGGATAATGATCGTCTACCAACGACGGGTACAAATAGGTTAGGTAACCGTTAGCAAATGTAATATCCGACCGTGTCCGAAAGGCCACTGATATTCAAATGACAAGACGACCGACAAGTGTCGGATTTCCGGGACTCGTCCTAAGACGTCACCTTTACATTTGCATAACAAAACTACAACTATTGTAGAATACAAATTTTATAACTTATTCAATACATGAAAATGTCACATTTTCATACTTAATATTACAACGGGTAATGTATACTATGTTGACTGAAATTTTTCAATATAGTTTTTAAAGAAAATCATACGATAAACTTGAATTTGTTAGCAAAGGGTCGGACCCCGCGAGCGCAATATCAGGGACAATAAACAACATCTCACCATCAAGCAGTTAAATATAAATCGTGAGGAATGCGGCGGAGATCGGTGACGTCATTTATTAAAACTCAACCCTGGCAACACCGAGTATATACTTTTAAATATAAAAAAAAAGAACTTTCTATGTTTTTGGTGACACCATTGATCGTAGCGCCTGTGGTGCTACGATCTTTAAGATACAAGTACAATTAATTAGTTTAGTTAGTTTGACTTCCAAAAAACAAAAGAAAACTTAGTTAATTCAAAAACAATTACCCTTTCTTCTTTTGATACATTTTCTCTCTTGTTTTATGTGAAGAAATTTTATCTAATGGAATCTACCACAGATTCTTAATCAATCTTAGATAATTTATAAACATAATAAAAGTAAGTATTTCAATTTAAAATTAAAATAAAGAAATAGATAAAAACTAAAAGGATAAGTAAGTGGCATGGCGGTATTTTTAATCTATTCAAAACGTTCGGTGATCGAAATTTAAAGCTCGCGCCAACAACGAGCCCAATCCCGTGAACAATGTCGCCAACCCCAACGCACGAATGTGCTAAGGAATTATTTAACTACCCTATTATCTATGATTTTATTTATCACTATGAGGAGAATGAATCATTTAAAAGAGATTCCAGTGAAATCACAATACTAAAGTTTCGGAAATGAAACTATGTTTTTATTCTAATTTGAAATTCTAAACTAAAACGCAAGTTATGAATTTTAAAAAAATATATCTGATACTAACTACAAACAATTTCTACGTTTAATATTTCTGATTTAGTTATAATTTTGTACAGTTGAGTACTTTTATTTTAAATTAGCTTTTGCTCACGACTCCGTGCTTGCGGAATTAAAAATTAAAAATCCAGTAAAAAACCTAGCCTATATTACTCAATGGTAATTTAGCTTTCGAATGGCAAAAGATTTTTTAAAATCGATTCAATCGTTTTTGAGTTTACTAGTTACATATAAAAATTCAAATTTTGAAAAAAAAAACTAGATATTTTGTTAACATTTTTCTTTGTAAATCAAATAGAAATTATGAAGTGAGCAAGTAACAGCGGGCGTCAATTAAATGATACAGGTGGAAGTTAGGGGACGCCAACATCCATCCTAATGGGAGTTCGCACTTACTTCTTAACAAGTTTCCTTGAGCGATGTTCAAGATAAGTACAACAATAACTGGATATAATGGTTTATATAAATATTAGTGAACTCTGTCTCTTAAATTTTACGTATAAAAATTAAACCGTAAAATTTTATTGCGGTTAATTCCGTCAAGGAAAAAACTTACAAGAGATTTCGCCACACGGAATTAAAATAAACCTATAATAATCAGAAAATTTATTTACCTTTTATATCTTTTTATTGTATGGATAAACTTTATTCAATACAAGTCGAAAATACATTTTCTAAAAGTTTATAAAGGTTTTATGGCGGGTATTATGACGAATAGTTAATTAAAAAACAAACTTGTGAATGTTGTTTTTTGACATTCCACTTGTAAAGAAGATAATAATAATTGTGAAAATGTAAGATAAACAAATACATATTAAAACATATTTTAAAAATATAGAATTTATATTAATTACTAAAAACAATATTTGATTAGAATATTTTAAAAGTTTATGTTAACTTTACTTCGTACTCATACCTCGTATAAACTTAAACTAACATGAAGGCATCGTTAATCTTAATATTTTGTGTTACGTGAAACTTAAACAAAACTTTAATTAATCCTGTGCGAGTCATCTCCGCGAAACGTGTGCGATGTTATCACACGGCGTATCAGAAGTTTAATCGTCGCGGTGTGGCGTAGCGTAGTGCGCGCGGCCCTAATGAG